ACACAACAGAGAGTCCCTGATGGAGGAGAAAAGTGGGATGCAGAACTCAAATTCTAGTAAAAAGACCAGACTTAACGGTTTGACTGAGACTGGAGGGACCCCGGAAGACATGACCCCCAGACTCTCTGTTAGCCCAAAACTAAAACCTTTCCCGAGGCCAACTCTTCAGACAAAGATTAGACTGGACAATGGGACATAAAATGATACTCGTGAAGAGTGTGCTTCTTAGCTCAAGTAGATAGAGGAGACTAAATGGGCAGCTCCTGTCTGGAGGTGAGATGAGAAGGCAGAGAGGGTCAGGAGCTGGTTGAATGGACATGGGAAATCGCGTGGAAAGGAGGAGCGTGCTGTCACAGTATAGGGAGAGCAACTAGGGTGACAACAATATATGCATAAATTTTTGTATAAGAGACTAACGTGAATGGTAAACTTTCACTTAAAGCACAACAATAAAACAAAACAAAAAAACCTCACTAAGCTAGCCTCTCCCGAGGCTCCCAGTCACACTCCAGGAGAGCCGTGACACCGCGTACATCTAATTACTGAGCACCGTCTTTGCCCTTGGTAAGATTTAGCATTAGCCAGGCCAATTACCTGTGACATAAACTTGGCATGACGAGGGCTGCAGTGTGTGTGCCTCATGGTTTGACCTCTGCCTTGCAGGGACCAACAGCGGTGAGCTGGCAGCAGGCAGGTGGGCGCCACAACTTGCTTCCAGGGCAAGCACCTCGGCTGGTGTCACTGTCCCCCTCTCATGTGTCTTGTGCTCCTTGCAGGTGTGGAGGACCCAGGTGAGGTGGGGTCAGGCTCCTCCAGCAGTCCACCATGGTGGTGGCACACCCCGCCACCACTGCCACCACCACACCCACCTCCACCGTCACGGCCACCGTCGTGATGACCACAGCCACCATGGACCTCCGGGACTGGCTGTTCCTCTGCTACGGGCTCATCGCCTTCCTGACGGAGGTCATTGACAGCACCACCTGCCCCTCAGTGTGTCGCTGCGACAATAGCTTCATCTACTGCAATGACCGGGGGCTCACCTCCATCCCCGCTGACATCCCCGACGACGCCACCACCCTCTACCTGCAGAACAACCAGATCAACAATGCCGGCATCCCCCAGGACCTCAAGACCAAGGTTAACGTGCAGGTCATCTACCTGTACGAGAACGACCTGGACGAGTTCCCCATCAACCTGCCACGCTCCCTGCGGGAGCTGCATCTGCAAGACAACAACGTGCGCACCATCGCCAGAGACTCACTGGCCCGCATCCCGCTGCTGGAGAAGCTGCACCTGGATGACAACTCCGTGTCCACCGTCAGCATAGAGGAGGATGCCTTCGCTGACAGCAAGCATCTCAAGCTGCTCTTCCTGAGCCGCAACCACCTGAGCAGCATCCCCTCGGGGCTGCCCCACACACTGGAGGAACTGCGCCTGGATGACAACCGCATCTCCACCATCCCGCTGCACGCCTTCAAGGGCCTCAACGGCCTGCGGCGCCTGGTGCTGGACGGCAACCTGCTGGCCAACCAGCGCATCGCCGACGACACCTTCAGCCGCCTGCAGAACCTCACTGAGCTCTCACTGGTGCGCAACTCGCTGGCCGCGCCACCCCTCAACCTGCCCAGTGCCCACCTGCAGAAGCTCTACCTGCAGGACAACGCCATCAGCCACATCCCCTACAACACACTGGCCAGGATGCGGGAGCTGGAGCGGCTGGACCTGTCCAACAACAACCTTACCACCCTGCCCCGCGGCCTGTTCGACGACCTGGAGAACCTGGCCCAGTTGCTGCTCCGTAACAACCCGTGGTTCTGCGGCTGTAACCTCATGTGGCTGCGGGACTGGGTGAAAGCACGGGCGGCCATGGTCAACGTGCGGGGCCTTATGTGCCAGGGCCCCGAGAAGGTCCGGGGCATGGCCATCAAGGATATCACCAGCGAGATGGACGAGTGCTTCGAGACGGGGGCACAGGGCGGCTCAGCCCACGCCGCCGCCAAAACCACAGCCAGCAACCATGCCTCAGCCACAACGCCCCAGGGCTCCCTGTTCACCCTCAAGGCCAAGAGGCCAGGGCTGCGCCTCCCCGATTCCAACATCGACTACCCCATGGCCACCGGCGACAGCGCCAAGGCCCTGGTCATCCACGTGAAGCCCCTGACCGCGGACTCCATCCGCATCACGTGGAAGTCCACGCTCCCTGCCTCCTCCTTCCGGCTCAGCTGGCTGCGCCTGGGCCACAGTCCAGCCGTGGGCTCCATCACGGAGACCCTGGTGCAGGGGGACAAGACAGAGTACCTGCTGACGGCCCTGGAACCCAAGTCCACCTACATCATCTGCATGGTCACCATGGAGACCGGCAACACCTACGCGGCCGATGAGACACCCGTGTGTGCCAAGGCGGAGACAGCCGACAGCTATGGCCCCACCACCACACTCAACCAGGAGCAGAATGCAGACTCCATGGCGGGCCTGCCCCTGGCAGGCATCATCGGTGGCGCCGTGGCAATTGTGTTCCTCTTCCTAGTCCTGGGGACCATCTGCTGGTATGTGCACCGGACCGGTGAGCTGTTGAGCCGGGAGAGGGCCTATAACCCGGGCAGCCGGAAAAAGGACGACTATATGGAGTCGGGGACCAAGAAGGATAACTCCATCCTGGAAATTCGAGGTCCTGGGCTACAGATGCTGCCCATCAACCCGTACCATGCCAAAGAAGAGTACGTGGTACACACCATCTTTCCCTCCAACGGCAGCAGCCTCTGCAAGGGCACGCACACCATCGGCTATGGCACCACGCGGGGCTACCGGGACGGCGGCATCCCCGACATAGACTATTCCTACACATGATGCCCGCCCCACCCAGGCCGCCCCTGCCCCGGCTCCTGGCGCCCTGCCCACCCCGGCTTGGCAGCGTGGCTTTGCCCAGCCTGCTGCGATCCAAGAGAGCAAGGAAAAGAAATTCCCCAGGTGACTTTCCCAGCACAAAGCAAAGTTTGGGGAGGGCTGACGATTTTATAGAAAACAATAATGGGGGAATTTTTTTTTTTTTTTAAAGAATAGAAGGCAGGAGGGGGATTCGAGGTTGCCGAAGACATAATTTATACAGAATGATGCCAGCTGGGGAGGGAAGGACTAAAAATAAAATGGCAGGAAGGGTTGGGCTGTTTTTTTTTTTTTCCCTGAAGTGGAAAGATACTACCTGTACAACCACTGTGTTCGGGGCCGTCACAAAAGAACCATCAGAGAAAGGCAGTCGACACCCGAGGCCCCCACACAGCTCTCTTGCTGGCGGCTGCTCCTGATGGAAGGTTTTCAGCCTCCTCACAAAGGCGAGAGGGAAGAAAAGATCTTTTGCTATGGAGATATTGTCCTGAAATCTCTTTCCCAGTTCCTTGCATACCATTTCCCTTACAGATTTGCAGAAAGATTGTGTCTTTCACTGCATTCTCTGAACAATTATGTAGTCGGTTAAAAAAACAAAAACAACTTTTTTCTTTTCTATACTGAAAACCTCTTCAGTTCCACGCACCACACTCTGCAGAAGCCCCGACGGAAGCTGTCGCTTTCCCTGCCGCTCGGAGGTGCAGCTCTCTACCCGTCTGTCTCTTACGTCGTGCATCTAAATACAGAGGGGTAGATAGAGCCACATATACGGTCCTTACAGTACTTCTTGGGTCAGTTCTTACAATTCCCTGAGACAACAGAATCTTGAAAACGTTGCTTTCTCCTAGAAATAACCGAGTAAGTAGACAAAGTATGTTGGGAACCGGAGCGGGACAGAGGGAGGAGACTCGGTCTCCTGGGGATATTGCTGTTCCCAGAGGCTAAGGCATGTCTATCCAGGTGGATGGCTTAAGGAGGGGCTGGGCAAGGGGCACTTTCAGTTTGATCCTATCTCAGGTTGGCCAGAGCTGGGCCGCTCTCCTTTCTGGTACAGAGAAAAGCTTTTCTAACTGCCAGTGTCCCCCGATCTCTCCCACCCACAGATGCAATCACCTCAACAGCTACTTTACTTCCTGATCGATTACTATGTGCTCTGTGCTTCCTCCCGGGACGGGTAATCGGTACAGGGATGAGGTTTTTATATCAGCTGATTAGACCTAATGGTTTCCATGGCTGCTGAAACAAAGCCCAGAAAAAGACAGGAAAATTCTCAGAAAAGCCCTGGCAGACAGCACCCCCAGAATGCAGAAAACTCAGCTGTGCCCATCCCTGGAACTCTGCTCTCTGGGAGACAGAATACACACTGGTGTCTTTCTAAAAATGCCAGCCTCAAAAAGGGTAGTGACCGGGACCTTCAGAAGAGTTAAGATTTTACTTCCTCCCTCTGGAATCAATGTTGCCGCCATTTATCAGCTGACAGTGCAGTTCGGTGAGCCATGAGATTAAAACGATGATCAAATAATGACAGCGGATCTGGCAAGAAGAGAGGCGCGGTGCCCGGGGGTCTGATATATCCTGCGTCCCAGCACTCGGGGAACGCAGGTCACCGTCTGTCAACATGCCACTTGTCCTGCGCCTGGGACACGCTGTATCAAAGAAGAGCAAGACGCTGCTTCTGATGGTAGCATTTTCAGAAGGCCTCGCTGCTCTGACAAAAGGCAAAGGCAGGAAGAGGAGTCTGCGCAGCCGTCCCAGGGCTGCCATTATGTGCCCGGGGGCCGGCCGCTTCTCGGACGTAAAAAGATCCAGCAGGGCCCTTTGGTGAAGAGGCGAGGGTTGACAGAAACGGACACAACAGCTGCATGCGAGGAGGTGGAGCAGAGGCGAAGGCTCCCCACCCCGAGCCCCGCTGGCCAGAGGGATCAGCTCACCAAACAGGAATCCCTACCACCAATCCCCAGGAAAGGCCGAGGGGCCTTTCATTCCACATTAGACCTTTCTTTCTCATACAGCGAGATCAGGAGAGAAATTTCCCCAAGCCTTAATTTCACGGCTGTAAAAAGCCAGCCCCACTCTGGACTGGAGCGCCCCAGATGCAGGCCTGTTCCTGGCAGCTCCGGGGAGGAGCAGAGGGCCCACGGGGAGCATCTGAGAGGACAGGTGCATAGGGGTGAGGTGTTGGCCAGGGGATGGAAGTCCAAGGTCCCCTCCCTTGGGGGCCCCGCTCCTGCTTTCTGCCAGGGTACTGGGAAGACCATCCCCCAAGTCTTGGCATTTGCAACATGGCGCTACCAACATGCCTGGTCCCCCAATTTCTCTCTACCCCCCCCTTCTCCTTTCCCCACCCCAGGTAGGAGGTGAGATCATCCCATGGGAGGCCAAGAAGGCAGTTAGGGGACAACCATGAGGGCTGCAGGGAAGGCCCCTACTTGGCCTGGGAGGACAGTGGGACCTGGTGCAGACAGCAGGCAGGGCTGAGAGTCTGCTGCACCCAGCTACCCGCTCTGAGCCCATGCTGGGGTGATGAACTTCCTCCCCATGGCACAGAGCAGGCCAGGCCCGCAGGAACTCTGCCACCCACCCCCAGGAGAGCCCAGGCCTGAGGGTGCCCACCAGACCCTCCGCCTGGCTTTGCACGGAGGAGGCTCAGGCAGAGGCTCACCCCATCTTACAGTGGCTGGAGCACCCACACAGAGCACCCTGCCCTGATGATGGCAGACATACCACCCAGCCAGGACCCTGGCCCTTCCAATGACCCTGCCGGAGGCCCGGGATCCCACCCCGCAAACCAGCTTTCTCATCTTTTCTGCCCTTTCGCATCCCGGACATCTTCCAAGTATCCTTTCTGAGAGCCAGCCCCAACTGTTGGCTGAGTCACAGGTCCCCAAAGCAGAAAGGGGGCCTGAAGCCAGGTCCACTCTGAACCCTGTCACCTCCTGGTTCAACTGCTCTGAGATGGTCACATATCAGAATCAGACAGAATGATGTTTCCTGGTGTCCAGCCCCCCTCAACACAGAGAAGCAGGGTGCAGGGGGCTAAAGATAACCCCCAGAACCTTCCTAACATCTCCCTCTGTGCATGGTGACACTTCCGAAGGAGAGCCCGCTCCTGACCTAGCCCACCCAGCCAGAACCACCTCACTGGCCTCAGGGTTGATGAGTATATCTTGTGGCATTTAAGGCAGGTTTAAAGTTAAGGGGGGAGAAAAGCCGATGACACTTCTTTGGTTAAGTGGTTTACCCTTTGTGGTAATTAGGTGTAGTGATTGGAATCTCTTTCCTATTACATGGCAATTTTCCTTTAAATTTGCCCTAAAAAAAAAAAAAAAAGAGGCAGGAGAGGAGGGAGCAGGACCCGGCATGTCATTTGCATTTTGCGAATGAAGCCTCTTGTAAGCTCAGCTCAGGCATGGGGCCCAACGTATGGAATGCTTAAGCGATTACTAAGAATAAAATCTATTAATTAGTCATACTCAATTCCGTAGACATGACGTGCATCAAAAGCTCTTCTTCCCTCTTTTCCTTCCTCCTTCTGCAGCCTGCTGTGGAAGCCTCCAACTTCTCTCAATTGGCTCCGACTTCCTGGACCACCTCCATGTTAACATGGCGGCCAGGCCCTCCCCTACCCGGGGCAAAGAGGCCCAGTTTGGGAGCTGGAGTTGGGGCATCAGCTCCTTCCTGCTCTGGGTGACAATGGCTGGGGAGGTGGCGGTGGCTGGGAGGGGCCCAGCCTGGCCCACCCGAAGCCCACCCCTGCCTTATACCTCTTCTCCCTCCAGGGACACAGGGCACTGGCCCTAGGCCACCTCCTCCTGCCCCAGGGGTTCACTGGTCAGGGAGGGTGACTCCAGAGAGGCACAGGGAAAGCGTGTTTTGCAAATCCACGACCTCTATTTCCCCTTCTGTAAATTGAGGGGAAGGCTAGAGAGGGGTCTAGTTTCACCCAGGAGAGTTGGGTGCTCCAGAGGCTAAGTAGGGGCCCCTCCACCGACCCCTTCCTACCCCATGCCCCCCACAGATTCTGGAAGGCTCTAGCTGGTTCAAGGCAGATGGTCCAGAGCAGGGGGGACAGGCCAGGTGAGGGATCTCTGAAGGCTGACTGGGGCCCGGAGAAGAAGACAGTCCCAGGACTGCTTCTGACAGCCTCCCTCCTTCTCCAGCTGTGGTGCACAGCCCAGGAGCCAGGAGAGGCCAGGAAGGAGCAAAAGTCTGAGAACACTCAGGACAACCCCCACCACCACCAAATGGCAGTTGAAGTCCCAAAGCCAACCCACTCAAGAAATCTGCTTCATGGTGAACGTGCCAGGGAGGAGGACGGGGCTTCTGAGCCTCACACTTATGAAAAATACAACAAGGAAGATTGGATGCGGCAGACAGGGAGAGGCGGAGCCGGGAAGGCAAAGCCAGGAGGGACCTGGGGGCCTGCTGGAAAGAGGGGGCCGTCAAGGCTGCAGTAGCCTGGGCCCCCCAGGCCAGACCACGCTCTCTGGGCCAGACCGTGGCCAGGGCAGCTGTGGGCGTCCTACATCCCCTCCCCACACTGAAGTCAGAGCAGGTGACGGGCACTGATGCCTGGCACTGGCCTGGAGCCAGGGTGAGCGCTAACAAGCAATTCACAGCCCTGCCGCTCCAGCACAGGCCTTCCAGAGCACGGAGATGAGGCCGTTTTTTTTCCTTAAAGAGGGATAAAAAGGCTCAAAAATGCAAATCATTACCGTTTACAACCAAGCGAGTCTGCTAAATTGATTAGGAGAGATTAAACTCCTTGGAGGTGAAGGAAAGGGAGATTTTTCGAGTTTTATGAATCTGCCCTGAGCGGCTGTGGGCAAAGCAAGGATTTTCCGGGGCCTGGCTCAAGGGCTGTCCCTGCTCAGCTGACGTGAGCTAGGGGTTTCTGAGGGCGGACACTGTGTGGGCCGAGCGCTGGGGGAGACACCAGGTTTAACACAGGCCTGGGCTCCACACTCTAGGAGTCCCTGCATGGTGCAAACAGTTAAGCTACTAACTGAAATGTTGGCCGTTCAAACCTACTGAGAGGCACCTTGGAAGAAAGGCCTGGCGATCTGCTTCCAAAAGGTCACAGCCTTGAAAATCCTATGGCGTGCAGTTCTACTCTGAAACACATGGGGTCACTGTAAGTTGGAATCGACTTGATGGCAGCTGGTTTGGGGTTCCACATTCCGCCCTTGTCCTCTAGATTCCATCTGCCTTTGGGGGTGAAAATTGAGTTTTGGCCAGGGGAAGTGGCCTGTCCAATCACTTAGAGTGTGGGACTCTAAAGCTACAAGCTTTTCCGTTTCCTTTCTGTTCCAGGGTGGGTCTGTCTCTGATCCACTCCCTAGGATGAGTGACAAGGCAAGTGGGGAAACTAGAGATCAGGGAAGAGAAACTCAGGCCCAGCAAAGAAAGCAGGCAGTGAGCTCCCTGTCACTGGAGCATTTGAGGACATGATGGGGACATGGCAGATACTCTGCTTAAGCCAAGACTAGTTCTTTGACTAGAAGACCCTGGTTCCCACCCTTGCTCTATCATCCCCTAGAGCCCTGTAAGGAAGCAGAAATGGAGAGATGTTAACTATGCTGCTCAAAATGACCAGTGTCTCCCTGAAAATCCTGAGTCAAGGCCACTCAGCCCCATCAGACAGCTGCTTATGCCACCAGAGATGCTGCAAAATTCCGATCCTCAGTGTCCAAAAGGCACTAGGAGAGGCAGTGCAGACCGGAGCCGCCTAAGCTTGAGTCAGAACTCAGCATGGGGCAGGTAGGTGACCCACTCCTGCGGCAGCGTGGGGCTACTGCCTCCCTGGGCCTGTTCGCAGGACTGCGAGGCC